GGGAGCTCTGTTTGTGGTGACATTTGAAACGAGTCTGTTTTGTCACCATAGAGGGAGGGCCTGAGAAATTCCCAAATGCTTCAAATGTGCCAGTTGTGCCTAAAACTGTATGCCTTTTTGTCACTCCAGCCAATAAGTGCACTTATTTTACTGTATTATTAATTTATTTGTTTGCTGGTGGTGGAGATGGAACCCAGGGTACTCTACTACTGAGTACCATCCCCGGCCATTTTTATCTTTTATTTTGAGACAGGGTCTTCCTAAATTATCCAGACTGGTCTCGAACATGGGACCTTCCATGCATGGGCCACTGCATCTGGCTTTTTAAATAAGTCAGTTTGTGATGTGTTTGTGCTTTTCTCTTACACACACAGACACACAACTATCCTAAGCAATGTAAAAATCTTCAATAGTCTCTGTGACATTCAAGCCATGGTGAATAAGAGGGCCTGCAGATTCATAGAACATATTCATAGTAGAGACTTCCTGCTAACCCCTCCCAGGTCAGCGTCCTAGGCTCTGCTGACTAAGGCCTTAGAGTTCTACTCCTAAGCTCTCTGGAATGAGGTGTTTCACAGATCTGGCTGACTGCTGCTCCTTGGATACTTCTCCATGAATCAGAAATGAAGTATGCAGCCCTATAGCCACAAAGGAATGCAAACAGCTCATTTTCCTTTTCTATCTTTTCAGAATTTGTTTTCGCTGTCACATATTAAAAGTGGAGAGTCACAGTGATAATCCCATTTGGATTTATGAAGAGTTGAATAGACTATTGACAAGATGCTTTAATCAAGAAATAAATTCACTGCAGAATCATAGACAGGGACAACTACCTTTACCAATGGATTTTTCTGTCCCTGCAGGGAATACTCTTGGATGTTTGAATTAAGCGCCACATCTGGAAACAAAAGAAAACAATTACTTTCACTGAGTGCTATGTCTGTGGGACTAAGAACAAAATTTACTTACATTCTGTCTTAATTCATTCCACTTTGTTGTTGTTGTTTTTTGTACAGGGGATCAAACTCGGTCCTTGCACTTGTGAGGCACGCAGCAGTACCACTGAGCTAAATCCCCAGCCCCCTCCATCCACTTTTGAAGGTAAATGCTCATCCCATTTTGATAGGTGGAAAATGGGGCAGGTATGAATAGTTTCACGCAGCATCCACTCTGTTCTCATCCCTTACCAAGTGCCAGCTCCAAACAGCCGCTGCTGCCAGGGGCCAAGCTCAGTCTACATAGACAACTCCTGCCAATGCTCCTACAGGTGCGGGTGCCCCTGTGGTACATATGGCTCTGACCAGTGAGCCTTGAGTGGGAGTCTTCTGGAAAAGAATTGCTTTCCAAGTATGGGAACTGCCCCTGCATCTTTGTTTCCTCCCTTTTCTTTGCTGGGAACCTGTGGCAAGGGGGCCTGGAGATACCTAGGAAGAGGAAAGCCCCATTCTGCGGGGGCTGGACAGGCAGACAGAAGGAACCGGGATGCCTCTGACATTGTAAAGCCACAACACCTCCTCGGAGCACCATCACAATGTTACATGAAAGAAATAAACCATCATTTGATTAATCTGGTGAGGCTGGGTTTCTGGAGCAAACGACTGAATGCTGCCTCCATGAACGCAGGGAAACGGGGGTGGAGTTTGAGTGACTTGTTTCCATGTAAAGTGATGCCTCAAAGCTGAATAAGACATAGTATCCACCCTTAAAGACTCCATAGCTGAGTTTGGAGGCAGCTATTTAAAGAAACAATTATAACAATGTTAGTACAACGATAGTCATTTGCATAGGCTTTCCCGGGAGCCTAGGGAGGGGAAAAAATAAAAAGAAGTGAGACCCAAGTGGAAGTGAAGTTAGACAGGCAATAACCAGAGCCGGGGAAAGATGATAGCTTGTGTCAGTGTAAGGAAGTGGGACACAGTGTGGCACACGCAGGGCCCCGGGGCGAGTCTGAGTCGGTGAAGCATAGAGTAGAAGGTAGGCGGTGGTGGGGGACGCATCTGGGGATACCTTTCATTTAGCTATTGCTTCAGAAAAAGCCACCCCCAAAACAGTACACTCGAAATAACTACGTTTTATTATTTCCCAGAATTGTACAATCTGAGCTGAGGGCAGCTGAATGGTTCTGTTCATGCAGTACCTGTTGGAGTGGACGCACCCAAGAACATTTTACTATCACATTCGGCGCCTCCCACTGGGATAACAGGCATAGCGGACCGCCTGGCATCTCTGTCTCCAGGCAGCCTCTCTGTGTGGACAGCTTGGGCTTCTTCGTAGCAGGGTGATCTCAGGGTAGTTGACTTTTAAAATGGTGGCTGGCTTCCATGTGAGAGAAAGAGGATGTTGCCAGTGTATTTAGGGGCTGGGCTGTGAAGTACCAGAAGCATCACTTCCTCTGAGTTCCACTTCCTACCTGTACTCTGTTGGTCAAAGCAGGTCACAGGCCAGCATGGAGTCAAGGGAGAGGAAATAGCTTGTACATCTTGGTGGGAAGACCAATATGCGCAAATGGGAAGAGAAGAATTAGCACCAGCCTTCTTCGGAGTCTACCTGGGAAGATGAAAGGATGATGCGGTCAGCTGGTTAGGCAGGATGGTATGAAACCCTGCCACGGAGATCAGGAAGGATCTAGAAGACATGGTATAGACTCCTTATCTTCTAACTCTTCCACCCCCCACAACAGGGTCACAAAGATAACACCTTGCCCATCCAACGACTTCCCATCTGCCATCTTGGAGATCAGGAAGAGGCCAGAGAGCTAACAGAGAGTCTGAGAATGAGTCTTTATGGCAACCCTTGGACAGCATGGCAGTTTACTCCACAGGAAAGGCTCCTGGAAGGACTGGAAAGTTATAATGAAGTAAGGAAGCTGTGTTAGGTAAACTTAAAAGAAGTTGGAATAATGGCACATTCAGGGACGGTGGTTACCTCTCCAGGAGAGGAGGAGATGTGGCATCCACAGGGAGCCTCACCATTCAGCTAAGCTTTTATTTCTAAAGTTAGGGGTTGGATGCATAGGTGTTGTTACATTCTTTGTGCCTTTTTGTGTGTTATAAATGGTTCCTAATGCAACTGTTAGAAGTATTCATTTCTGAATAGATTTTTGGGTCCCCAGTGCCAAGTTTAGGTCATGACATATTGTGTAGGAGTGGGGACATAGAGCAAGGCTTGAAAGAGGACTTAGACTTACTTGTTGGGAAAGTCACCCGGTTGGCTTGGGGCAGTACAAGAGCAGAGACAGGGAAATCAGTAAGGGAGCTGCCATATATGTCCAGTGGTAGGTGACAGTGGCCTGGCTGCCCTGCTGTGGATGGGTTGGTTCAGAAACAAATTGGGGGGCTTGGTGAGTCACAAAACATGGGGGTGTGGGCAAGGCTTCTGGTTGAGTGAAGGGATGGGCAGAGACCCCCATTCCCCATGACTGAGGCCAGAGATTTCAAGTGGAGGGTTTGTGCAGGGGAAAGAGTTCAGTGAGGACAGTTGGGTTGGAGGGGCCTGTGGGACGAGATGACCGATATGTCAGGGGCGCAGGAGTGTGCACTTCAGGAACAAGTCTTACGGACCTTGGCACTGATGCAAACTGAAGCTGTAGAAAGAGGTGACGTACCTAGGGGAGAGTGAGTTGGAGAGCAGAAAAGGACCTCCTGGGGGACAGCAGCCTCTCAGCCTGAGGAGGGAAGTCCTCAGTTATTTTCTAGACAGCCCTGATGCTCCAGAGAGTCCCTTCTGGGCCAGTCTCTGCGGAAGGCGGTTCTCCCTGTCCTCCCCAACAGACCTGGTTGAAGTCCCTGCTGGGAGGTAGGAGGCCCAGTGTTGCCTAGGCCTCTCCCCTCAAGGTCAGCCCTGATGAAGGCCATTCCTGGGCCCTCTCCCAGTGTGGGCCGTGATCGCCCAGGTCAGAGCCAGATTTTCCAGGATGGAATCCTGCGTGAAGAGAGACAAGGACAGCGGGAGTGCTGGAGCTGCTGAGGGGCAGTCAGGGACTCGTGGGTGCCTTGCTTTCTTGGCCACTGGCTGTTCCCCTCCTGCCTGTACCGGGCCTTTCCAAGGTGATTGTTTTTCCCTGTGTGTTTTGGTGGCCCTGCCACAGTGCTTTGGGTTTGGATCGCCAAACACAGGGCTCTTTGGAAAACTTGGAGCCCCTCACTGGCCCTCTGTGGGCATTTCTCTGCCCTCATTCCCTTCCTCTTTGAAGAAGGAGTAGGATGCTGTTTCCTTTGGGGTGGTTTGTTGGCAGTAACAGGAACACACATAAGCTGGTCAGAGCAGGGTTGGTGGGTGGTGAGCTTGGAGGAAGTGTACTGAAAGGGGATTCTACCCTGGCTGGCCCCTTCTTTTTGGTCCCTTCCCCTGTTGTTATAATAAATGTAAGACACTGTCAGCCTTTGTGTATCTTTGTGGACAACCTGGGTATCCTCCCTTCTACCCTGATGCTCTCTTTTTGTTTCTTAAAACTTGGATTCTGAATTAAAATTTAGATTCTGTCTTGAACAAAGACCTCTCTGAACTCTCAGGAAAAGAGTTTTCTGCCACCGGTTGGACATAAAGGAATCTGCGGGAAAACCCAAGGCAACAATGTTGTTATTTCAGAACTATGAATCTCTCAAGGCATTTCTCCAAAAAAAAGCAGATTTCAATAACAAGAGGAAAATGGATCAGTGGGGATATTACAGGGTTTTGGTTTGCCTAAAAACGCTGTAGACAAGGGGAATACAGCTATGTAATAAAATAATCAAGAAAGGAATATTTTCATAGAGAAAACATTTTAATGAATCACTCCAAAGTGTCGTAGCATCTACTCTAAGATCTCAGAATTGCTTCCATGGTGATTCACTCAACCGTACTTTGGAACTCGACAGCATAAACCGTGGCCTTCTGCTATAAAATATGTGCCAAGGCGAACAGGCAGGCACAGACAGGCACTGCGCATGCGTTCCATCTCTCCACCAATCGCGAGGCTTCCGCACGACTGCGCCGGGCACCTCGCAACGCCGTTAGCACCTTCCTCTGCCCCTTCCCCGCCTGTGAGCCGGAGCCATCCGGGGACATCCGAGCCATCTGAGGCAGCAGGACATCCTTGCCCTTTCCTGGGCTTCTCTGGCACCTTGCCCACCGCTCCCGTTCCTGGTTTCCTTCACTTGAGCATCTGATGGCACTCGATGCGTCCTCTGGCTCGAGGCTTGTCCTTCTGGGTGGTGGCCTAGCTTCCGCCCGTCCATCTGTTCTCATTCTGGGCCAGGGGCAGCACCGGATCTAGACTGGATCGTACTGAAGTCCGGGAGCCAAGATCCCCAGGACATGTATTTGATAATTGGGAAAAGTTAATTTAGAGGCGTTTTCAGGCATGGGAGCCAGTGTCGTGCCCCGTGTGTGTGTGTGTGTGTGTGTGTGTGTGTGTGTGTACATAGTGCCCCTCACTGTCCCTTACGCCCAAGGCTGCCAGTGACACTTCGGTTCGTGTCCTCCAGGCACCGGGCCCCATAGATAACAAATGGCACCTCCTCTCCCCAGCAGTCAGATCGAGCCACTTGTGTGAAACATACGAGACAACTGCACACAAGGCTTCTGCGTGTCCCGTTGACTTAACACTAGAATCCTCTTTCTCATAATTCCACTTGCAGGGATCTAACCAGGAAACGCCTGGGATAAAAATAAGGATAGCCGACCTGCGCGGGTGTTCACCTGATTCTCACCCCAAGCCGCCAAAGCCCTCCTGTCCTCTGTCCCCTGGCCTGGAGCAGCCGAGGCCTTGATCAAGGCCGTGGCTGAGGACCCAGCCTCCAGGTGGGTCTGGTCCTCTAGGGCGTGGACCCTGTGCCCTGGGAGGGAGGAAAGTGACCCATGGTCTTGCCCTGACCTTGGGGTGAGTGGCACCGAGTGGCAGCGCCAGCTGGGCCTCTCACCTGTCCATGCTCTCTCTGGGGCCCTTCCCTGCTCCAGGCCACCTGTCCCCCCTCCACGCTATCTTGTGCCTTGGGGTTTCCCAGTCCAGCCCTCCTGCCCCACTTGTCACAGTGCAGTTCATCGATATGCAGCCTAGGGTCCTGCCTGGAATTACCTGGGTGCTCTGAGGAGGAGTCAGACGCCCTGCTTCACAGGGAGAGAAGTCGCCTGTGTGTAAGACTCCTAACTGGGGCCTGGTGGTCTGGTCCCACTGACACCCAGCCGGAAATGTTGGAGCCCCAGTGGGATTTCTGAGGAAAGAAGTGGTAAGGAGAATGGTGGCAGGCTGGGTGTGGCAGTGCATATCTGTAATCCTGGACACTTAGGCTGAGGCAGGAGGGTGGCAATTTCAAGGCCAGCCTGAGCAGTTTAAGAAAAAAAAACCTGAAGTGTGTGTGTGTGTGTGTGTGTGTGTGCCCCCCCACACACACACGGTGGGGAAAGTGGGGTTGTGGGTGTGGAATCACTGAAGATCGGGACTCATCTGAGAGATTTGTGGAAGAGTTATGAGAGGAGGAAGCTCCAGGGCTGACCTGGAATGTCCACCCGGGGTCTTTTCAGAGCAACCGACAGACACTCAGTCAGCGTCTTTCCCTTTCCTGTTTTCCTCAGACACATACTTTAGTCTTGGGAAAAATATTTGAAACCTGAACTTTGAGTGCCAGAATGCGTAATCATGTACGAAGCGGGGCACCAGGAAGTGGTATCTGTTGCACAGACTCTTTTAACTGTGGGATCAAATCTCTGTGCTGCATCACAAAACATGCAGGAAGGGAAATAAACAGATGACAGGAGTGGAAGAAATACTAAAATAATATTTTCACAAACAGGTGCTGGCCCAAAACACACTTGGGAGCCTGGGGAAGCTCCAGTGATACACAGCCCAGAGGGTGGGAGAATTGGGATCAAACTGCCAAGCGAGAGAGCTGGTCCTGGGGATCCAGGTCAGAGGCCCTGATTGCCCAGTCCCTGGCCATCTGCGCAGCTGGGGCTTAGAGAAACAAGCTCAAAAGCAAACAAACCCCATAGACAAACATTTGAAATCTCTTCTATCTTCTCTTCCTAATACAGACAAGACCTACCTTTTCAGCTTTCATAGATTTTTTTTTAAAACTGTGGTAAAATATATAATAAAAATTACCATTTTAACCATTTTTAGGATTTTTTCGTAATCCCAAACAGAAAATATTCAATGACAAATAACTCCTCTTTCCTCTCATCCCACCACTGGTGAATCTACTTTCTGCCTCTGTGAATTTGCCTACTTCAGACATTTCATTTGGAAGTGTATATGATCTATTGTATCCAGTGTACTTAGCGGTCTGTTTTCAGTGTTCATATAAGTTGCAGGATGTATCAAAATTTCATTCATTTTCATGGCTGAATAATATTCCATCACACATTCTGTTTCTCCATTACCTTGTGGATGGACAGTTGGGTTGTTTCTACCTTGGGTTATGGGAAGAGTGCTGCCGTGAACACTGGTGAGTGAGTTCTACTTAAGTCTTTCTTTTCACTTCACACTTAGGATTGGAGTTGGTGCATCACGCTGTATTTCTGTGTTTAACTTTGCAGGAACTGCCAACTGTTTTCTTCAGTGGCAACACTGTTTTCTATTCCCAACGGGAACATGTGAGGACCATAACACCTCCACATCCTTGGCAACACTTGTTACTGGCCATTAAATATATCTCTGTCTCCTACTGGGTGTGAAATGGTGTCTTGTGATTTTCATAGCTGTGTTTTAAAGGTAATTTCACATCATTTGGGTTTTGCAACAGAAATTAGAAATTGTAACATGTACTGAAGATATATTTGTAATTCATTTTATTGCATACATTATCTTGTTTAAACTATTTTTGGTGCGAAAAATCTAAAATATTCTCATGTTCTCATTTTTTAGAGGATAAATTTAGTTTATCTCATGCATATTCTCATTTTATGTATTAATTTTTCTTTCAGTTGTAAGTTTCAAGGTTCATCAAATGGTCTAAAAATATATTTTTTTATTTGTTTATTCATTTGTTTATTGGGACAGGGTCTCAGTGTGTAGTTTAGGCTGGCCCTGAACTCACTATGTAGCCCAGGCTGGTCTTGCACCCATGACGATCCTCCTGCCTCAGCCTCCCAAGTGCTGCCGCTCCCACTTTAAAAATAACTTTGTGCATAGCATTCAGAGATGTTTTATAATTACAATTGTCATTACTTTGTATCTTTTTGTTTTTTAACCCTTTAATAAGTTTTACTTTATCGCATCCCCAATTACACCCCTTCCCTCCACTTTGTATCTTTTTGAACCAGTTCTGAGGTTGAGTAAATTCTCTTGATTCCATCATTGTTGCATAGCATTCTATGGACATTAGGATCAAAGATCAGAAATTACTGAGCTGTGGTCTCTTCTTAAAATACTAATAGCAAGTGGCAGACCTAATGCACCGATAATGTACTGACATATTTTTAATTGAATCTTAGTTTTCTTTGAGTATAACCAACATGTGTGCAGAGAGAGAGATCTTTCATGAACACTTGGTCAGTAAACATTTGAGGGTCTGCTGTGGTGTTGCATTGTGCTGGACCCTGGGCACACACTGGTGACTTCATGGCTTGTGGTTGATGTTTGCAGAAATGAGACAGTCCTGTTCTTGATCGATGCCTTTTTGACTAACATCTTTTTTTTTTTTTTTTTTCATGATGCTGGGGATTGAACTCAGGGCCTCGCATTTGCCAGGGAGGCGCAGCACTGCTGAGCTACTTCCCCGGCCCTTGACTAACATCTTAAGAGATAACGTTTTAATTGCTCATGGATAAATTTGACCGGAGACTAAAATATTGTGTTACTTTCCCCTTGTTGACACCCCAAACACCTGACACCCAAAGTTAAAAGGGAAGGGGTTTATTTGGCTTGCAGTTCATAGAGCTCTCAGTCCATAATCATCTGGCTCCGAAGCTGGGATGGAAACAGGCATCACAGAGGAGAAACAACATGGCGCGCACAGTAGCAAAGGTAACGAAAGTTTAACAGCATCTTTCTGTCCTTTTATCTTATACAGACAAGCGGGGATTAGGGAGGTGCCAAACTAATCAGGTAGAGTGGTTTAGTAACTACACACCCTTAACCCCAGCATCACACATTCCAGACTAACTACCTCTGAGAAAGGAAGTCCCACCCCAACTTCATGAGGCTTTGGGGAGGCATCTAAACACAAATCAGAGCAGTTGTATTTACGGAATCGAATTGTTATCCCATATCTTTGCCAGAAGAGTGTGAAAGAGCTCCCCAAAATAAAAGACTCAATTAAAAAGCGGCTACTGAAATGAATAGACACTTCTTAGAAGAAGGACAAAGGGCCAGTAAATATGTGAAAAAACGGTCAACATTACTGGCCATTGGAGAAATGCAAATTAAAACTACACTGATGATGCAACTTCTTCCTCTCCTATCCATATTCCTTTTCTTTCTTTCTCTTGTCCAATGCTCTGGCTAATGTCTCCAGAACTATATTGAACAAGAGTGGTGATAGTGGGCATCGTTGTCTTGTTCCTGATTTCAGAGGGAAGGCTTTCAATTCCTGACCATTTAGCAGGATGTTGGCTATTGGCTTGTCATAGGTGGCTTTTATCAGATTGGGATAAAGACTTTTTATTCCTGTTTTTTTGTAGGATTTTTGTCTTGAATAGGTGTCAGCTATTCCCCTTTTTGGTATCTTCCCAAAAGAGTTAAAAGCATCATAGCGCAGGGATATATGCGCACCCATGTTTATAGCAGCACAATTTGTAATAGTTAAATCTTGGAAACAGCCCAAATGCTCATCAACCGATGAATGGATAAATCAAATGTGATTTTTATGTATAATAGGGTGCTACTTTGCCATAAAGAAGGATAAACTCGAGACATTTTTAGGTAAATCCATGCACTTGAGACCATACTTTTAAGTGAAATAAATCAGACACATATGTTTAATCATCTTGTGTGAGAAATTGAAAGTATAAATAAGGACCAAGATGGATGATAGAGGCAACCTATCTGGGACCCCTCGTGTCTCTGAGAAGCTATTCTTATTCTGTATTCCTACTCCCCAATAAATTTTCCTATGCTTTAAAAAAGAAACCAGAGTGGATGATAGATATTGGGGAATAAGAAGAAAATGTTCAAACAGGACAGGGAGCAGGAGGGGGAGGAGGAAGGAAAAGAAAGGGAAAAGAGGAATAGAAGGAAAAACCCGGAAACAGGGCTGCTGTAAATAAGGAGGGGAAATAGAGTTGAAGGCAGAGAAGAGGAGTGGAGAAAAAAAGAAGAATCAAGATATATCGTGTACGGGTACATATTCCCTATGATAAATGTGATCATTATGTATATCAAAAGTGTACCAATAAAATTAACTTTAAAAGCTACACTGAGATACCATCTTCTCCCAGAAAGACTAGATATCCTTTTAAAAAATCTAATAATAGTAAACACTGGCCAGGATGTGGGGGGAAAAGGAACTCTTGTTGGTTGGAATGTAAGCAAGTACAACCGCTATGGAGATCAATGTGGAGAGTCCTCAAAAACTAAAAATAGAAATTCCATCTGACCCAGCTTTCTCCTTTTAGGTGTCTTCCTAAAAGAGTTAAAGTGATCATATTATAGAAATATGTATACCGAAGTTTATAACAGCACAATTCATAATAGCTAAATCTTGGAAACAGCCTGTGTCTATGAACAGATGAGTGGATAAGAAAAATGTGATATTTATACACACTGGAGTACTACTCTGCCAAAAAGAAAAACTTGAGAACATAATGTTAAGTGAAATAAGTCAGACAAACAAGCTTAAATATCATATGGTTTCTCTTATATGAGAAATTAATACATATATAATATATATAATATATTTATGTATAATATATTATATATATGTATATATACACACACACACATACACAATGATAACTTGGTTCATGAATGCTTTTGTTTGTGAGCAGTTTGGTTTGCAAACAGAAGCAGTTGACAAAATTTTGTTTTTGTTTGCGAGCTCTGCGTCAGGTAGTGAACACAACTGGGGCCATCTTTTCCAGAATTGTGCAACAAATTAAGTTTGTGAACCTATATAGCAAAATAGAAGATAGATGGGAAATAGGGAAAATTCAAATAATTCCCCAAATTACCTTGTCTGTTGTTTCAAAAATATTTAAATATATATGCTAATTTGTTTCATTTATACTCCTAGTTACTCTGAGTTCACTGAAGAGAAAGTTTTGTACTAGTATCTGTTTTTCTTTGTAAGAGTGTCTTTTGTCTATGCCTTGTACTCTGAATAACTACTTTTAAGATTATGATACACGGTATATTAACTATTGCTATTCACTTGTTATGAGAAAAATTTTTTATAAAATAAAAGGAACAAGCACTAAGTTAATGCACAGGAAAGTAAAACCAGGATCAAGAAGTAAGGAAGCAGCTGGACGTGGTGGCACATGCCTGTAATTCCAGCACTCGGGAGGCTGAGGCAGGAGGATTGCTGTGAGTTCCAGACCAGCCTGGGCTATGTAGTGAGTTCCAGGTCAGTCTCAACTACAGAGTGAGACCCTGACTCAAAAAAAAAAAAAAAAAAAGAAAAGAAAAGAAAGAGTAAGGAACCAACATATTAACCTTAAATGGTATATATTTGATACAATCATTATTTGTGGTAACTATGTTAACTATGTTTGACTCAAACTTTAGGGATACATTTGATTGGGAACAATTAACTTTGATTTATACAAGTAGGTGATCATTTATCCCATGTGGCAAGAAGCCTGGTTATGCAATCTGGGGTGGGAACAGTAATTCTGTGAGAAACCCAGGTTCTTGATCTGCAGTGCTGTCCTTGGCATGCAGGCCTTGGCTCTCACACTGTGACCTCATGGTCCCAAGATGGCTGCTGCACACGAGAATAGGAAGAAAGGAGAAGAGCAGAGAGCCCGTGCTTTCTCCCACCTTCTTTTTTAGTTCAGGAAGGAATATCCTGTGAAAAACTATGAAGGAGCTGGGTGTGGTAGCGCACGCCTGTAATCTCAGCACTTGGGAGACTGAGGCGGAAAGATTGCCACAAGTTTGAGGTCAGCCTGGGATACATAGTGTGTTCAAGGCCAGCCTGAACTACAGAGTGAGACCCTGTCTCAAAAACAAAAACCAAACAACAACAACAAAGACAACTATGTATGGTCTGAGATTTATCCTTCTCACAAGCTAAGAAGGTCGCCTGCCCTGGTTTCATGGATTCTGGCAGAAGACATGACACCTCTGGGTCAGAGACATGAGACTTTGTTACTCACAACACAGTAAACAGTGTATCTGTGGCAGTTCCCTTGTGCTGAATCCCACTGGGGCAATACAGAAAAGTCCATAGGAATGTCTGCACATACAGTGGCTTCTTTTCAGGAGAGGACCCCGCATCTCATATAATGGGCAGTGGGCAGGCCATTGTACAAGGAAGAAACATTATTTCTGTCTTCCACTGGTCCACGCAAGCCTTCCCAATGCTGGGGAGAGATAGTACCCCACTCTGCCAAGGCTTCATGCTATGCAAATGTTCTTGTTTTGTTTTTGTGGTACTGGGGATTGAACTCGGGCCCTTGTGCTTGCAAAGCAGGCAGTGGAACCACTGAGCCAAATCTCCGGACCCATACTATGCAGATGTCCTGGGAAAATTAGTGTCTGGGTGCAGTGGTACCTACAATGTCATCTACATGGGAGG